CCCTGTCCCCTGCAGCTGGCTTCACCTGCCTTCTGTCCTCCCCTGTCCCCTGCAGCTGGCTTCACCTGCCTTCTGTCCTCCCCTGTCCCCTGCAGCTGGCTTCACCTGCCTTCTGTCCTCCCCCATCCCCTGTAGCTGGCCACAGCACAGCACTGGCCGCTTAAGGTCTTGGAAGTGGCTGCATCTGCAGGGATGCAGGCATCTCTACCCTGGGCCAAAGGTCATCCTGCTTCCTCCAGGATCAGGCCCCTGGACAAGACATAGGCTTTCCTTCTCAGGGACATGGGACCTCTGGGCAGTAGCCTTTCTTTCTCTCTGCAGAGGGAGGGATATAGGTAGCCTCTCCATAAAGACCTGCTACTACCCAGTCAGCAAGACTAGGATGAACCAGCCTCCTGTGAGAGCCAGGATGGTGAGGATGGGGCTCTGGCAGGCTGGACCTTTCTCTCCACAGCTAAGAGGATGGGGAAGCTGCAAGTTGAAAGTTTTTTGAAAGTTCTTGCCTGCTGGCCGAGGCCTCCATAGAGCTTGGAGAGGCTGGTTGTAATTGGGAAAGTTTAAGAGTTCCTCTCTGGGCTCAAACCACCATGAGGACAACTCCAAGCAATGCCACAGAAAGATCTAGAACTGAGAAAGGGATTCAATAAGGTCTGTCCACCAACTGTCACCTGACAGATTTATAGGTGGAAGTTTCTGTCCCACAAGCTGCTCCCAACTAACCACACAGAGGCTTAATATTACCTGTAAATGCTCGGCCAGTAGCTCAGGCTTGCTACTAGATAACTCTTACATTTTCAATTAACCCATTTTTTTAATCTACATTTTGCCACGTGGCTTGGTACCTTTTCTCAGTACAGCATGTCCATCTTGCTTCTCTCCAAGTCTGCTTACTACTCTTCAGACCCTGCCCTTCTTCTTCCCAGCATTCTCTGCTTGGCTCTCCCCCTAACCTTCTCCTGTCCAGCTACTGGCCAATCAGCTTCCTTATTAAACCAATTGCAGCAACATATATTCACATAGTGTAGAAGGAATATTCCACACAGATTCTTGGGGCATCACCTTAGAAACTGCTCATGGCTGTAGGGTTCATCGTCTGACACCTTCACCCAGTTATTTGACTGTCTTTATTGATTTTTTAAGCATGTATCTGTGAACTTAGGTAAAGTTTCCTCTCTTCACTCACTCATTCACTTTCACAGTTTACTGAAACACATGTTCATAGCAGAGATATCCACAGCAGTCAAAAGGCAGGAGCAAGGTCAAGTGTGGTGGTACACACCTTTAATCTCTGCATGCAGGAGGGAGAGACAGGTAGATCGCTATGATTTCAAGGTCAGTCTGATCTACCCTGTGTCAAAAAAAAAGGTAGAAGACACACAAATGTCCAGAGATAGGTGAACAAATAAAATAAAATGTGCTATGTATGTGCAGTGGAATAATACACAGCTTAAAAAAAAAAAACTCTGACACAGGCTACAGTGTGTAAATACACAGAGAATGTTATACTAAGTGAAATAAGCCAGAGACAGACAGACAAATATTGTGGAATTCACTTACATGAGGTACATAGGTGAAGCAAATCCACACAGAACAGTAGGTTTGGGTTTCCAGGGACTTCAGGAGTGGTGGAAATGGGGAATCAATATTTAATGGGTACAGAGTTTCAGGTTATAAGACGAGAAGTTCAGGAGAATGGTTATGCAATAATGAGAATATGCTTATTGGTACTGAGCTACACATTTAAAATGATTGTATTAGCAAATCTCATGTTACATGTACCTTTACCACAATTTAAACAATATTTTTTAAAAATTGCTTATTATTTATTTGCTTTTTATGGGCATGAGTGTTTTGCTTGCATGTATATCTATGTATCATGTGCATGCAATGCCCAAGGAGACCAGACATGGGTGCTATGCCTGTATGTGTATATGTGTGTCATGTTCGTGTAGTGCCCAAGAAGACCAGAAGAGACTGTCAGATCCCTTGAGACTGGTATCTGTGTATTACATGTGTGCTTGGTGATGCGGAGGCCAGAAGAGGGAGTTGGATCCCTTGGAACTGAAGTTCTAGACACTATGAACTGCCATGTGAGTGCTGGAAATTGAACCGCGGTCCTCTGGAAGAGAAGCCAGTGCTCTTAACTGCTGAACCATCTTCTCAGCTTCTAACCAATAAAAATTTTAGAAGTAAAATGGTGGCAGTAGATGAAGCCAGTCTGGGCAGATCCCATTTCATGTGCCCCACTGTTCCAGCAGCAAGGCCACAGTGCAGCCGGAGACACATGGGGCAGGCTGGTCCTTGGCCCTCTAACAGGAGGAAAGAGAACAAAGAACTAGTAAGAGCATTCAGGGTGTTACTCAGGCCTCCTCTAAAGCCCCGGTGACTCTGATTTCAGGAGGTGATCCTTCCTGACCTGGGTGATTGCCTGATTTTTCTGAGACCGTCTTTTGAGTTGTATACTTACAATCTTGTTGGAGAAAAGAGTCCAAAAGCAAAGGAAACTGGTCTCAGAGAAAACTTGACCTGCTTGCTAACTGGTGCCTCTGTTCACCCTGTCCACTTGAGCCTTCACCCAGGAAACCCTTCCTGAACACTCACCGTGTGCCCGCCGCCGCTGCTTACCCCAGCAGGGCAGGCTCTGTTCAGCAGCCCTCCCCAAGCCTCCATGACGTGTGGTCTCCGATATTCCTGATCCTGCCCAGGCACCTGGTGCGCTGGAGATCTTTTGCCCACAGATAATGGGAGTGCAGGCAATGAAATAGAGCTGGTTCGAAGGCTGGAATGTGTTTGTTTGCCTTGTATTCCAAACACCTCATAAGTAAGTTGTTTAGTGTATGGCCGCTTGTAAGGGGTGGGTGGGTTCAGGGATGGATGGGAGATGGAGGCATGGATGGGGGATGGAGGGATGGATGGGAGATGGAGAGATGGATGGAGGATGAAGGGATGGATGGGGGATGGAAAGATGGATGGGGGATGGAGGAATGGATGGGGGATAGAGGGATGGATGGGGATGGAGGGATGGATGGGATGGAGGGATGGATGGGGATAGAGAGATGGATGGATGGATAGGGGATACAGGGATGGATGGATGGGGGATAGAGGGATGGATGGGGATAGAGGGATGGATGGGGGATAGATAAATGGATGGATGGGGGATAGAGAGATGGATGAATGGGGCATAGAGGGACGGACAAGTGGACACTGGGATAACAGGAATCTTCATTTGGATTTAGCAGAAAGAGATCCTGAATGACTTGTGTGAATGGAGAAGATGCTGACAGAAGGGGATAGCGAGCTAGGTAGGAAAGAACTCCAGGAAATGATGCGTTATTGAGCTGTGATGCCACTTACCTATTTTGGCGGACACCATAAAATGTGGCTTAGGACCAGTGAGATGACTCAATGTACCAGCACTTGCTGTCAGGCTTGCCTTGAGTTTGATTCCTGGAAACCACACAGAAGAGAGAACCAACTCCCACATTTTATCCTCTGATCTCCACACATACACCATGACAATATATGTGGACACGCACAGCCTCACACATGCACACACACACACACACACACACACAACACACACACACACAATAGAAAATATCAAAAATGTGTACTCCATTTTAACGTGGTTTGGAGGTGTTTCACCCAAGGCATGGGGAAAGCCAAGCCTTGAGCCTGTAAGTCTCCTTCAGCACTGACTGAGGACACCCAGAAGCACTTTGAGAGAAAGGCCCCGGTCAGAAGCTGCTCACACACAGAGAGCCTGGAGCAGTGCGTGCTGAGGAGCCAGGACTGGGGTGTCTCCTGCTCAGCACTCACAGTGTAAGCTCACAGTCCTCTCCCTGAAGTGGGCAGGGCCCTTTCCCGGAAAAGGGGCCCAGTCACCCAATGTCAACTGAGCACTTCCAGTAATCCCCACCCTTTCTCCCGGCTCCCCTCCCAGTTCCCTAAGGGCAGCAAGAGATTCACAGGCCACTATGAACTGGGAGGCTTGTCTTGTTCCTCTGCCAGCTCTGTGAGGGTGACCGATCCATTCCTCCCGCACCCACCCAGCACCCGGAAACACGGAGCAGTGCTGATGAGGTGTCAGGGTGGGCACGGGTCACTCCTGGTCTCACCATGCTGGGACACTCGCTCATTAGCTCATTACAGCAGCACAGGCCTTGCTAGTTTAAGAATCGGTGAGTGTGGGAGCCTGAGCCACCATGACGGGTTGTCCCTGAAAGAGGCACACAGCACCTGTTCCTGCCAATCAGGCATGCCTGTGGCTTCCCAGAACAAAGAGGTAAGTAACTAGGTGTGCTCAAGTCTAAGTGAAAACATTAGGAAACCCACTGAAGTTCTGAGGCCATATTTCTTCCATGATCCTGTCAATGATAAATATTTTTCCTCTGGCTGACTTGCTGTCTGTCTCTCAGCTGATGCCTAACTGAGTGAAGAACAGTGGAATTCCTGTCCTAATAAAACTTCGACAGGGCCCTTCTAGTCCTCACAGCTGTCAGACTTCAAGAGACTATCCGAAGTACTGCCCTGGAAATGGCTCTAGTTTCCCCCCAAAATGACATATGGTGCCCACATGTTCCTAGGTGTATTAAAGACTTCCCAAAGTTCATCAGTTACAGATAAGCTAACAGAACTCCTGCCAATTTTGTTTAATAAGTGTTGAGCTTGCTTGACTTTGAACTCATTTAGTCACGTGATACCAACAGCCACTCCAGAAAACACTTGGGGAGAGTCTGCAGATGGTGCCTCTGCCTCCTGGAATGTCCTCTCCCCAGGCCTCTGGGTCTCTCGTATGTGGCTGGCAGAGCTCACCAAGAAGGCAAAGTTTTGACCACCTTTCAGTTGGGCCATTTCTCACCTGAGGTGAGCAACCGTGAGGGATGAGGTCATGTGTCCATCCGGGACACAGGGCAAGCTCACTGTATAGAAGTGGCTTCCCCAAGAAAACCCACTGCATACACTGCATCCAGGTGTACTCAGGGGACAAGGAGAACCAGATCATATCCCCATGCAGGTTACTACATGGTGACTTCTGGCCCAGGATCCACATGCCTTCAGCTCACCTCTAATCTCAGGCTAGTTTATTAGTTTATTATTTACAAGCAAGAAAAAAAAATCCTGACTCTGACACCCACATTCTCTGCCTGAAAACTCCCTCCGTCCTGAAGATAAACCACAAATTCCTCTGCGAAACCTGCCATGAGTCCTCTTCCCTTGTCTGAACCCCTATAACTCTTTATCCTTATCTTTATTCAATTGGTTACCATCAACTGATTACCACTGAACTCACACAACCTGTTACCACTGAACTCTACCCACTGTGCCTCCCCCTCGACCTAGAGGGGATGCTTGGGGTCAGAAACATTCATCTTTGGTACCTGACATAGCACCCAATACATACCAGGCACCTAAAAAATGTCTTTGAATGAACCAACATCATTAAGTAGTTACACTTTTCACGAATGTAATAATAGAATGAGTAAATCTGGGCTCGACTGTGGGAACAAGAATGACTTTGGCTGTTTTATGTAGAAGGGGACTTGTGTAGAGAATCAGACATTGGCAGCATCCACCGGGCAGGCTGGAAAAGAAGACTCTTAGGCGGGGCTTCTGGGAAGGTCCCAGTGAAAGCATCAGCGAAGGCAACACCCCTTCCACGGCAATCCGGGGACGAGGGTGGGAGGAAGCCATGGGGACAGTGACTGCTTCAGCTTCATTCTGTCTCTGTCGTGATCCTTGCCTGGGAGCATGAAACTCAACGCCGGGGAAATCAAAGCCCAAACCCTGAGGTCCTGCACCTGATGCCAGAGGATACCAGTCGCCTCCATGAAGGGGGCTTGCTAGCAGAAGGTTCGGAAGTATGGCTTCTCTCTCATCTCCACTGCCAAACTTAACGGTGTGCATCCTTTGGGTGGGTACCAAGCCTTAAGGATTCAGTGATGTCTACAGGAGTCTGAGAAAAAGCTTCCAGCCTATCGCTCTCTATGGTGCAAAACGGAAGTCCAAAAGGAGTCAGGATGCCTCTGAGAGGAACCATTGTTGAAATAGTCACCTAAGGGCTTGTTACCATGTGTGAGTGATGTACACAAGATGTCCCATTGAATTAATGGTTACAACACACTGACTAACGCCACTATGAAACATCCCCACCCTGTCCATTCAGATGTGGAGAGTCCCACGCTACTGCTGCAGTCTCTGACAGCATCTCCTCCCAAGGATGAGACGGACCTGACTAGAAAGTAAGAATTGTCAGGCACCAGGCTACAGGTCTTCATTGAACAGTTTTCACCCCAGATCCTCTCCCTGGGACAATCTATCATTTGGAGAATATTCGAGTGTGAAAATACCAGGCGTAGTTCTGCAAAGAGACCTGCCTCTCCATAACATAGCATTAAAGGTCACAACAGCCCCAGACACCTTCTAGAGAAAGTCACAGTGCTGAAAAGCCACTGTCTTTCCTCACAATTTCATTGGGCCCCAGGGCTTCCCTCCACCTGATCCCCCACTTCCTCTTAGGACCTCAGTGCTCACCCACTCAGTCACTGGGAGCAGTAGATAGATGCTCCCAGCTCCCAGCTGAGTCCCTCTCCAGGAACTGCCCTGCTCTGGGATCGCGCTCTTGAGACAGACAGTGCAGCAAGCCCACACCTGATGAGTAATCAATGCTAGTCCTTTGTCTCAAAGTGGGGCACCCTAGAAAAGCCACACCAAAGCCAGGGCTCCCCTAGGAATCAGCAGATTCGGGGCATTGCAGCTCTCCCTCTGCCTGCTCCCCCAGCCCCACGCTATCTTTGCTCTAACCAGATGCCACACTTGTGGATCTCTACCGGAAAGTCTGCAGCCGCAGACTTTCTCCCATTCAGTTACAGTGAGGCCGGGGGCTGGGGATGGGCTTCCGTTGAAGGAACAGCCATGGGTAAGCATGCACGGGATGATGACAGCAGCAGACTCCATGGGTAACTACCGACCACAGAGTGTGAACAGCCTGTGACTGTTGACTGCCATCAAAGTGTGTGATCTAGATGTGACACTTACTATCTCTAAGACAGTACTGCAGCCAGGACTTCACCGGAATAACCAAGGCTCTCATTAAAATGGAGGCGGCCTGAGCGACTCATTGTCTCCAGAGGTTGCCTGCCTACTACTCATTTATAATCACTTTGTCTCTCCGGGTCTTGGTTCTTCCATCTTTGAAAGGAGGCAGCTGTGTTTAGACTTCCTATGGAGAGAACAGACATGTACCAGCCTGTTTTCAGTCTGGTACGCCTCCCTCATCTCCTACTGTTGAAGGGGTATAAAATCCAGATGTTCTGACTGAGGCAGTCAGAGAACTATTGTATATGATGGGTTCTGGGTCAGACAGCTTTTCATGGCTGTGCCGAAACACCCAAGGTAAATAATTGATAAGGACGAAAGGTTCATTTGGACTCACGATTTTGAGAGTTTCAGTCCATAATCGCTTGGTCTTGCTGCTCTGAGCCTGAGGCTCCCCAGTAACACCAGGGCACACGGCATGCTGAGAAAGCTGCTCACCCTGTGATAATCAGGAAGCAAAGAGAGACAGGAAGGGGCCAGAGTCCCAGTGACCCCTCCAAGGTCAGGCCTCCCATGACCTGATTTCCAACCAGGCCTCAACTCTCACAGGCTCTCCCACCTCTCACGGCATCGTGAGCTGAGGAGCAAGCCCTTCACACACAGGTCCCGAGCCAAACCAGGGCAGATAGCTGCCTTCATCTCAAGGGCATCCTTTCCACTTCCTGTTAAGATAAGGGGCTTTGTAGACATTGCCAAGTTCCTGGATAAATTCAGCATCCCTTTGGGAGGAGTTACGTAAAGCTTCTGATAAACATGTCTCCTTTTTGATATGAAAATTAGCCCAAGATGGCTTCAATCAGTAAAGTAGCTTTATTTAAAGCTGTTCATCTCCCATAGGACAGGATAGCTTACTTTGTATGTATGTGTGTGTACGTGTGTGTGTGTGTGTGTGTGTGTGTGTGTGTGTGTGTGTGTTCACTGTATGCACACATGTGTGCAGGTACATATTTGTATAAGGATATACGTGTGTGTGTGTGTGTGTGTGTGTGTGTGTGTGTGTGTGTGTAAATCAGAGGTTGACATCAGGTGTTTTCCTCAGTCCCTCTTCACCTTATTTTTGAGAAAGAGTCTCTCACTGAACCAGGAACTCACTGACCTAGCTAGAACAGCCAGCCAGCAGCTCTAGTGGTCTGCCCGTCTCTGCCTCAGGAATGCCAGATGGGCACATGCTTCTGGGCCCAGCTTTGGTGTGCATGTTGAAGATGGGGATTCAGGCCTTCCTGCTTACATAACAAACACTTTACCAACTAAGTCTTCTCCCTAGTCCAGGAGAGTTTACTTTTTTTTTTTTTTTGTCATTTTTTTCCGAGACAGGGTTTCTCTGTGTAGTTTTGGTGCCTGTCCTGGATCTCGCTCTGTAGACCAGGGTGGCCTCGAACTCACAGAGATTCGCCTGGCTCTGCCTCCCGAGTACTGGGAGTACAGGTGTGGGCCACCACAGCCTGGTGAGAGTTTACTTTTAGGGCTACCTGAATCCATGCCCCTTGATCATTTCTTAGCCACATGATCTTAGATAGGCTAACAAAAATCCCTTTGCCAAAATTTCCTTACCTGAAAAATAGCATTAAAAATAGTTCCTGCCTCACTGGGATACTGAAGTGACTAAATGTGACTCTGCCGGTGTGGGTTTGAATGAGAATGGCTCATATGTTTGGAAACACAGTCCCCAGTTGGTAGAACTGTTTGGGAAAGATTAGGAGGTGTGCCACTGGGGGATATATGTAGCTAGAGTTTTCCTGCCTTGCCCACAGTCAGGACAAATCTCTGTCACCCGCCAGTCCCACAGCCGCTCAGACCCAACCAAGTAAACACAGAGACTTATATTGCTTACAAACTGTGTGGCCGTGGCAGGCTTCTTGCTAACTGTTCTTATAGCTTAAATTAATCCATTTCCATAAATCTATACCTTGCCACGTGGCTTGTGACTTACCGGTGTCTTCACATGCGGCTTATCATGGTGGCGGCTGGCAGTGTCTCTCTGACTCAGCCTTCCACTTCCCAGAATTCTCCTCCTCCTTGTCCCGCCTATACTTCCTCCTGCCTGGCCACTGGCCTATCAGTGTTTCATTTATTGACCAATCAGAGCAACAGATTTGATATACAGACCATCCCACAGCAGATATATCACATCATTCCCAGTTAGCTCTCTCTGCCTCATGCTTGCGAATCAAGATGTAAACTCTCAGCTACTGCTCCAGTGCCATGCCTGCCTGCTCCCTGCCATGATGGTCACGGACTCTAATTAATCCTCTGAAACTCTGAGACCTAAATAAATTCTTTCTGTTACAAGTTGCCTTAGCCAGGGTGTCTTGTCACAGCAATAAAAGAGTAACTAAGACAGCTGGCTAAACATCTGTGTCAAAGTGACTGACAGAGTAAGCAATTAATAAATGCAAGGTACTCATCATTTCTGAGGATGAATGAAAGTGTGTGACTGGTGGATTTAAAAATTCTAATTTGGTTGATATTATTAAACATACAACCACAATGAAGACATGTAGATTGGCTCAAACACTTCTGGCCTTCCAAATAAGGTTTCAGGGATTTGAGATACCTCTGCCAAGAGGAAAAAAATAGTCATGGCATCCAATGCCAATAGAGCCGAAATAAAATTCTTAATTGTGTGTTCAATCTCCTGTTTCCAAGCCTTTGGAATGTAGGGGTCTTTCAAACCAGCTCTTTTATGGAGGTCTTGGGAAAGAAAGCAGGTTTGTCAGCTACTCCTGGTATTGAGAAAGACTAACGGGGGCTTACATTTTAACACTGAGTTATTTGATGTTTCCTTGACCTTCACTTCGTGGGGTTTAAGGGAGATCACTAAACCTGTCTCTGCCTTACGCTCTGCATCTTCTTAGGGAAAACTGGACTCAGTTACTAGGAACCGAGCCTCATAATGTCAGATGCACTCTGACTGCCAATTCCATTTCACTGCAGATATGCCCAGCAAAGTAGCTGCTAACAAGAATATCTTAATGCTCATCTTACCACCGCCAATGATACAGGGGCCTGTTGGCAATGAGGAAGGACGGATTACACTGGTTAGAGACCCAGCAATTCTTGTTAAATAGCTCTTGATAAATTGTTGGCAAGGAAGGAAGAAAGGAGAGGGGGGAGAGAGAAGAAAAGAAGGAAGGAAGAGGAGGGAGGGAGGAGAGAGGAAGTGGGGAGAAGAAGAGAAATGACCTACCAGATCAGCTCCTGGAACTTCAGTACACCCCTTGGTCCTGGCCTCTCTCATCGCTGGATCTCCAAGGCCTTGCTCAGTATCCAGCACACAGTCAGCACTCACCAGATGTTTGCTGAATGGATTAAACAGTGAGCTATGGATATAAAGTAACGGGACCAGTTTTACAGGCTCACGTGAAGATCTGCCTCAGGAGTCCAACACTTAGTCTTAAAGAATGATTTAAGTAACTCTACCAAGAGTCCAATTGTGACTCAGTAGCTGTGGAAATTGGATCCTGGGACCTCCTCCCCCAGTACCAATGAGTAAAGACATGCAAGCCCCCAGTTGTTTGCAACCTACATGTTTCTCCCCCCCCCCACAGACTTCAGTTACCTCTAGATTCCTTACGGTCCCCATGCCATGTCAGTGCTATGCGGGCAGTTTTTAATCTGCGTTGTCTAGAGAATAATGACAAGGAAAAAGTCAACCTGTATTTAGTACAGAGTCCACTTTTTGCAAGTGATTTAGTCGACATTTGGTGGTGTCTTTGGATTCAGAGCCACAGACAGGGTTCATGGACTGCAGTATAATTACCCTTATTTTATACATGAACAAACTGAGACTGTGTAAGCTTAACTTGTCCATAGTAAGACATTCTTGAGGGAAGGTCTCTGTCCTCTTCTCATCCTCCATCCACCCTTGGACCTAAGACAGCAAGGTCAATGCTGCTGTCCTGCTGGGCACAAGAAGATGATCATGGATCATCTCATTTTTTCCCCCTGATTCACAGATAACCCTGGATCTCCACAGAAGTGAGGCATCTTGTCCCAAGGTCACATAGGTCATAGAAGAGAACAGTGTTACTTACAATCAGGTGCGTTATCTCTGGGCCTGAGTAGAATAGGACCATGGGTTCTCATCAACACCAGCCTCTCCAGAAATCAGTGTGATTGCCTGTGATTTGATGGAGATGAGTTGTGAGCAGGGACACTTCCCTCTAGTACCTAGGTCAACATGCTGCATCCTCCTGGCAAGCACCCTGGCATATTGGGGGTAATATTTCAGGTTGTAGGCTGCAGATTGCAGGAACACTGAGGGAAGAAAATACTAGCAAAAATCAGAGGGGACAGGCCACTCCTCCACGCCAGTATCCTCTAGGAACAACATCTTAGCTCTGGTCCTGGGCTGGTAGGTGTGGGCAATGGGAGTTGTGGGTGATTTGCACACGACTGTCCTCACTTTATCCCTGCAAATCCTGTACCATAAGAACTTCCTCAGATCCTGACCATAGGGCCACTTGGCCACATAGTCTATTTCTGTATTTCTCCTACATCACGCATCTACAGGAAGAGAAGCAAACAAGAGTGCATCAAAGAGAGATGCTGTGCCAAGAGTCACTTGTTGAGTGACAGGTTGATGAGAGGCTCTGGCGGGTCCTTGGTGGACTGAGCCACCACTGCATCAATGTTGGCGGACTCACCTGGGACCAAATGAAAGGGCTGCTGTGGGTGAATGCACTGATCCCACAGCAACTCTACAGGGCAGAGCTTGCCACTTTCCTACCCAGGGTGGAATCTGAGGACCAAGGAGGGGCGGGGAGCATGTTCCTGAAGCTCACAGCCTAGAAAGTAGCAGAGACAGGATCTAGATGGTACAGAGTCCAGGGTATCTGTCTCTTCACTGTGATGTCTCAGAAGTAGATGAATGCCACTCCTTTGCTCAAGGAAGGGCTAGTCAGGTGGAGTATAGCATGTCCACAGTCCCAGCACTCAGAAGGCTGAAGCAGGAAGACCACAAGTTCTAGGCCAGCCTGGGCTACATAATAAGCCTCCATCTTTTAGACAACGCTCAGGAAGAAGAAAAGGCTGAGCTTTGTGGTGCATGCCTGTAATTTCAGCTACTTGAGAGGCTGAGGCAAGAAGACCATAAGTTCAAGGCCTACCTAGGCTACAGAGCAAGTCCAGATCCAGCTGAGCAACTTAGTAAAAGCGTGTCTCAAAACAAGCAGAATTTTTTTTTTTTTTTTTTTTTTTTTTTTTATTGAAAAGTACTGGGTACCAATGACAGAGCACCTGCCTGGCATGTCCAAGGCTCTAGGTCCAATCCACAGTGCCAGGAAGGCAGAAGAGAGGGAGGCTGTCCTGACTGGCAGGAGAAGGCACACACCCCAGATGGACCCTACCATGGCTGGCACTGAGCTGTCGCTGTGGGCCGCCATCTACTGCGAC